ACCCTTTAGTAACAGAAAATCTTTAGCATCAGCCCTCAACTTCATACAAATCTGTCCAAAAAACAAAAAAAATAAAATATAATATTGAGAGTGTGGCTTATGTAGAGTCCTGTATTCAACTGATGTTAAGAAAAAAAAAATGGAGCCCAATGGATTCAGTGTTCATCTTGTTTGACACCACACCACGAGATTTGCATATCTGTCGAAGATACTGATGCCAATGAAAAACTTTATTATAGATGTGATCGTTGTATGGATTAAAATTTTTTAATATCTGAATAAATATACAATTTCCATAATATCACCGAATTTCCTAACCACTATCATCAATATAGGTACCTTACCGTGTCACCAACTTACGTAACATAAGTTTGTATGTCAATTTGACATTTACTATCATTATTGATCTTTTTTGTTAAATTAACTCGTCTAAACATTTACTTCAAATAATAAGTAACGTAACAAAGCAAAACTTATTTCTTGCTTAGTTTTCGAATTCCTATATTATTAGTATTTTTCATTTTTATCACCAATATACCTTTCCTTACCCTACTAGGTAGGTTATAAGTAGGTAGGTAAGTTATAATATGTTTTTGTATTATATGTATTACGCTTTTGTCCAAAGTTTTAAGTTATATAGATCAAAAGAAAAATATTTGGACAGTTTATCTTAAATATGAATACTTAACTAGAAGCATTATTAATGAAAAGTCAGAAGAAGAATTATTGATAAAAGGTTGGAAGAAGGAAAAATCTAGAAAATAATGCATATTTAAGGGTAGTTAGAATAATAAGGTTAACAATACCTAGCACAAATATACACTTTGTATGTTCTAAAATATTTTTTGAGAACAGACGAATGATGTACAGTCATTTGCTTTCATAAACGTTTATTTAATTTTACAGTTAAAAAACCTATTTTTGAAATACCTTGTAATTGTTTAGTCGTTTGTAAACACTGGCCTGGCAATTTTGTGTACATATGGAATGGTGTGAGATCTTTTAAAAAAGGCAAAAATGGCATACGGTACAAGAATCGTATCAAAATACAAAACACGTGAGAACCTTGGGAAATTTAAGAGTTGACACCTACAATTATTAAAAATGCAAAACAATTCAAAATCTGTCGAATCTATTAAAAGTTTTATTTGTTCCCACGAATGTATTTATTAACAATGTTTTGCATTTTTCCCATATATTAATAAAGTAGCTATCATTATTTTTGTTGTTAAATATGTATACTTATTCCAAATGCCTATATGAATTACGTAGTAATCGAAACAGTTCAGCAAAATCTGTAAGGAGGATTCACTCTAAAGAAAAATAAAAAATTTAAACATAAATATTCCCATCCATTTGATATATACATATACATACAGTGTGTAAAAGCCAAATGGAATAAATTCATTATTTAGGTTACTGTACATATTTATAAATTATCCCAAAACATGTCAAATTTAAATTATAACTTGACATTCTTTAACGTGAAAATGCAACCCCTACCTTCAACCCCCTTAGAATGACAGGTACAATTCCCAATTTTTAAAATAGGAAGTATAGGCTTGTGATATATCCTTTGAAAGGTCTTTTCATTCTTTATTCAAAAATGTTGTCGCTCTCAAGTTTATTAAGATTAATTAAGATAAAATAAATTAAAATCATGTGGTTACCGAAATTCGCTACAATACAATCAAACACTAAAATGTAATGCAGAACGTAATAAAATGTAGAACACGAAAAAGAACTATGAATGATAATGAAGTAGATGTTCAAAATGTTCACCGCGAACGTCTTGGCAACATCCTAATCTCAAATAAAACTGTCTGTTAACATTATTTAACATAACAGGCGTGATCGACCTAATCGCAAGCGTTATTCGTTCTTTTAAGTCATTTAAATCAGAATGTTTAGTTTTGTACACATGGCTCTTCACATATCCCCATAAAAAGAAATCTAATAATGTAAGATCAGGTGATCGCGCTGGCTATTCAATCGATGCTCGCCTCCCTATCCACCGATTGGGAAATATTGTATCAAGGTACTGCCGGACATTAAGTTGGTAATGTGGTGGTGCTCCATCCTGCTGAAACCATATCGTATTCGCTGGAACTTGAGGGTTTCCTGGATCAGGATATAAATTTGCCAACGTTGGAATGACATAATTTTGAAGTAGTGCCAAATAATTGTTGCCTTTCAAGTTGCCCTCAATGAAAAACGGACCAATGATATTACTTCCTACAATCCCTGCCCAAACATTAACCTTTTGAGGGTACTGAATGTGTTCTTCTCTCATCTAGTGAATTTTGCCGATTAGCATGACCGTTAAGTGAAAAAGTATACTCATCAGAAAACATAACGTCTTCTAATTGGATAATATTGTTATTCAAAATGTCCATCATTTGCTCACAAAAAAAGTTCTATCAAAATCGTCTTCCATGAGCTATAAGATAAATAGGTATCATCTTATAGGGATGCAATGTATTTTCTTTTAATATGTTTACTATCGATGTATGGCTAACATTGAATGTAGTTGATGCCTGTCTACTCGATGTATGTGGATTTTCCTGAAACTCAAGCAACACATCTAATTTGAGTTCATCACTCAGTGCATTGGCAGCTGCTTTTTTTATCTGTCTTATATGACCAAACTCGCGAAACTGCTTCTCTATTTTACTTATTGTTCCTTGGGATATAGGCGATAAATTAGGAAATTTCTCATGAAATAGGCGAGTTACTTCCTGTTGGGTTCGGTGTTATCTCCGTAACCAATCATTTGTAAAACTGTTATTTTATGCATTTTCGTTATTCTAACCGTTTTTCAGAATTGAATTGAACGAACTTTTTAATTAAATTAAAATACTGACAACTTACATAAAACAATTTACTAACGCGTGTTAAGATAACGTTGCCTCGGAAATTATTTAAAGTTTTTTAATGGTTCTTCTTCTTCTAAAAGTGCCCTGTCCGTTGCGAACGTTGGCTATTAACATGGCAATTTTGATCTTGTTTGCGGCGCTTCTGAATAGTTCGACCGATGTGAGCCCGAACCACTTCCGCAATTTTGGAGCCACGAGTGTCTTCTCCTGCCTGGCCCTCGCTTACTGTCTATTTTTCCCTGGACAATCAATTGTAGCAGACCATATTTTAATGGTTACCATCTAAAAACCACATTGCTATGGTTTTTGTTCATTTTTCATTATCAAGACCTAAACGGGAAATAAGTTTTGAGTATATTTTAGCGAATTTCGGTAAACACGTGATTTTAATTTATTTTATCTTAATTAATCTTAATAAACTTGAAAGCGACAACATTTTTGAATGGATGAAAAGACCTTTCAAACGATATATCATACGCCTATACTTCCTATTTTAAAAATTGGGGGTTGTACCTGTCATTCTAAGGGGGATGAAGGTAGGGGTTGCATTTTCACGTTAGAGAATGTCAAGTTATAATTTAAATTTGACGTGTTTCGGGATTTCGGGATTTCGGGATTTTTCATAAATATGTACAGTAACCTAAATAATGAATTTATTCCATTCTTTAACACACTGTATATATATATATATATATATATATATATATATATATATATATATATATATATATATCTGAGTATTAAATAAAACTTTTTTAAGAAAATATTAATGTTATGGAAAATTGTAAGGCCATCAAAACAATAGCATGTAGGTCAAAGTCATGTTTCCTATTTTGATCAAAATTCTTGCTTATCAGTGAAACTAAAAATACTATTTTGAAAACCAATACATATCTAGGACTAGATGAAAATTTGTTTAATTTAAATCTCTATTTAAAAACTTACTCATCGCATTTTTTATCAAGTTTTGACCCCTCAAGTATTTTTAGTCAGCACGTCTTACTTTTAACTAACAAAATAACAGAAGAAATAATTTACTGGATCTTTACACTAGAAGAAATATTTGAACATTCGAAGACATAAGCTGCATAATAAATAATGGCTAAGTTTTTCTGAAAATAACAATTTTGAAATCGGATCTTTGAATTATTCCTTTTTTGATAGAAACTGCAATAGAGAATTAATGATTGATGGGAACAAATGCGATATTTACATTTTTTATTAAAATACAACACCTCATTAACAGCAATTTTTGTTAAGAAAAGTTTTACATTTTCAAAATTGTATTAATACATTTTTAAAATGAACAAAATTCCTTAGATATATGTATATTGTAAATAAGCGTATTTTATCAGTGTGATATCGTTTAGTACGAACAGCCTTTGCTCTTTGAACATCACATTTATTTCTTCAAGTGCTCTTTGTACAGATCTCAATGATTTTCAGCCTTAATATGTTCAGCCTTGATTTGAGTAGCAACAGGATCTGGCTCGAAACGGGTGTGCGTCCTCATGTGCCTTGTAATCATGTCTCTTCTGCACGCAGCGTAAGGGCACTGTGGACATTTATAAGGTTTCTCGCCAGTATGCGTCCTTTGATGAGTGGATAAATGATCTGACCTAGAAAACACTTGACCACAAACACGGCACGTGTAAGGTTTCACTCCAGTATGCAGTCTCATATGTCGTGTAAGCATATCACTGCGAGCGAATGATCTTTTACACACTTCACATAAGTAAGCTTTGGCCGCCGTTTCACCGTTACTTTGTCTACTCTTGTGCCTTGAAGCCATATGTTTGGCCAGGCGATCGTGCAAACTGAACATCTGACCACAAACTGGGCACACGTATGCTACATCTGAACCAGGCGGCATTTCTTCTACAACCGGAGAAACTTCTAAATTGTATCTGGATGCTACAGACTCTTTTGTAGTAGGAGAAGCTACGTCTCCTTTTACAACAGGTACCGAGACAGGACCACGCGGAGGTAAGAATCCAGGAGGGAGTAATTGTAATGGTGGCGGTGCCAAAGATTCCAACCGTTCTCGACTTCTGGACGATTTCATTGACAGATCTAGTGGAGATTCTTGCGGAGACCAAGTGTTTGAATCTACAGAACCCTTACCGCATCCAGTAGATAAAGTAAGTGGATGAGGCCAAGAAGGGGGGGCCCTAGCTCTATCAGCTTTAGCGGCTTCAAACCATATAGGCAAGTCAGAATCTGAATGGCTTCTTTTACGAAAAATATCAGGCAGGTACTTTGAATGCAAATATCGCTCAAAGCTATATGTAGGCGCTGGTGACGACGGTGTCAAAGGTGAAATGGGTGATGCGGGAAAAAATCTATCGTAGGGATGAAGAGGAGATGGATGGTGGCCTAGAACGACTCCCGTAATACATTGATAACACGGACACGCTGCTGTTCGTTGAAGCAAAGGTGGACTCGGACTCGTATCATCTTTAATTCTCAGTGGACTAAATCGAATCTGAGGAGAATCGGTTGAGCTATGAGGGGACTTATTACTTGAACTCGCAGGACTAAAAACATCTTCGTCTTCACTAATCGTTTTATACCTTTCCCTATCGGGAATATCAAACTTAAATACCTCAGGCCGGTATTGTTTTTCATGCATTCCCATATCGATTGTGATATCACCTTTGTTGTTATGGTTATAGGCCTCTATAATGTTGTTGTTGTTGATCACTGCAGGGTTCTCTGGTGAAGGTTCGCTCTCGTAGGGTGATGAACCTCCTCCTGAAACAATAAAGCCGTGTTAAAATAAAACAAGAAAAAATATGAGAAATAGTTATATAAATAAAATTTAACAAAACCATACCAAAAACTGAAATCTTCATTATGGTTTCGTTATGTATTATACTGGTGATCTGTTATAATTAACTGATCAGCATTATTTGAAAACAAAAAATCTCTTTAACTTGAGAAAATCCGTCAGAAAAAAAATCATAGCATGTAATTCGTCTTTAAAAAGACAAACACATGACATAATGACAGTAAAATTCTCCTATTAGTGATTCCATAGTAAATTATGAGAGAAAAACCAGGAAAAAAACCTCATAATAATATCCCGACATGGTAAGTATTTGGTCGTGCATTTAGTTTACCTTCAATAAAAACCAAACTCTCATTTCGTTATTTAAAAAACATAAATGATGTATCCCCTGTATGTTACTGACTTACTAATACTGGTGTTTTCTTATTAATAACTTTCTCTTTCAATATTAGTAACCAGATCCTACTACATTCTGCCGTGGAATTTGCGACACAATTGGTCTCATTTAGCATAATTAGAGCCGCTTCTTTGATTTTTCTTTTTTTACCATCCGTTTCTTTTAGGATTACATTTGAATTATTCCATTGAACCCTAAGTTCATTATCCCATGCGTGTTTACATATTTGAGATCTATCAAATTCTCTATTTTTAATATAAGACTGATGTTCACTTATTCTAACATTTAATGGGCTTGATGTTTCACCTAAATAAAACTGATCGCATTCACAAGGTATTTTTTAAATGCAATTCTTTGTCCTTTCTTGTTCATTGTTAGGTTTGGTTTTACAAATACATAATAATACAAATATTGTGAAGTGATTGAAAAACAGTATAAAGAGAACTAAATAAAAACAAATTGTAAATAATATCTTACCAATAAGCTTATCCAGAACTTGACTCAGTCTCTTCCTTTTTTTGAGCTTGCCAGCAATACGATGGTTATGATTGATTACCAGTGGGTGATTGTTATTAACTTTGTCGTGGGTAGTGGAAGAGTCGACTGTACTCTCGGCCATAGTCATTTACGCGAGGCGGCAAAAGGGCCGCGGAACCTACGAACTACCAGATGAGACCTTTGGGCCTGAGTTCATACTCTGGTTAGTTATGGGAGTGCTATTCACAAGTGCTGAAGTAAGTACTGAAACAAAAAAAAAACTGTTAAAATCAAAATAAATATGGAGCCCTGTTATAACTATTAGATTTTTTAAATAGTTTTACAATAAAAAATTCAAACCCCAACCGTTTAAAAACCATTCCTTATTATTAGCATTTTTATTGTCAAAATGTATTAAAAGTGCAAATTAATATTGATTTCTTATCTTTCTTGTTACTACAAAACATTACCAGAATAAAAAAATTTATTGTAATATAATCATCGAAAATAACCCTACTCGATTTCTAACTCTATGAAAGAAATTTTGTTTTTTATTTCGATTTTTATGTACAATAAAATCGAAAAAAAAAACATACATCATTAGTAGATAAGCCAAATCCTAAGGAAAAAATATACCGCAGGTATATAACGGCAGAGGTCGGTTCCAAATATTCACAGTCAAAACTAATACAAAAGAAATCGCGAAAGGCGGTAAACACGTGGTGCATTGCGGTGGGGGTGGGCGCAATGCACTCAGACAGACACTGCAGTGCGGTGGAGGCGGCATACTGACTGCAAGCTGTTTAAATCGTGGACGGTTTTATGTTTCGACATAAAAACAGTGGAGTAGTAAATAAAGGAGTTAAAACAATATACATAATGACATTAACAAAATAGTTTATAATTCTTATATATAAAAAAGTAAAATTTAAACACAATAAACAACAAATATTTGTTGAAGAAAAGAAAAGAAAAGAAAACTATTATTTTTAAACAACAAATTAGCCAATTAGAAATAGCATGTAATTAAATCAATCATTTAGGTACACTCGTTTTTGATTTTATTTCTATTGTATGTATCCAGTATTTAATATATAAATAAATATTGTATATATATATATATATATATATATATATATATATATATATATATATTGTGATATTTAAAGTCTTAGTGCGCCAAGCAATTAATTAGCTAATTAACTAATTCAATATAAGGTTGAATGTTCGAATAATTAAACTTTGAGGGTATACAAGGCAACTATCGAACACGGTGATTAATTTAATCTTGCCCAAGTACTTTCAATCAATAGATCATCTTCAGGGGCATCTGAAATAAGCCAAGAAACGTTTTTTATATAAACAGGAAAATTAATTCACTTGGATAAAAAACTCCAAATTTATGGTTGAAAAAAAAAAAAAAATTTATATGTGATAAACGTTTATAGACTTACTTCGTCAATTGTGGACTATCCGACATAGTAGAATGTCATAAATGTAAAACTGGACATAACAATACAAAATACACTACACTAAGACAAACAAACACTTTAAAATTTATATGGCGAAGCTACATATTGTGAAGAAGCCGGAGACAGAATGGGCTCCCGGTCTGACGGAAATGTAGAGATGACATGTGACAAATGACAGCTTATGAAGGGCAGTTATGTGATCTGCACCTTTCAAAATTCTATGACACTAAATATTGACCAAAGGTCCAACTGACACCACTATAGGAAATCGACTGATGAAATATAAAATTATATAGTATATTTTTTATGTGGATTGAATAATTCCAATCTCACACTCAAACCTGTCTATAATAAGTAGGATGTTGGTTTGAGAGCAATTGAAGTTGACATAAAGTATGAATGTGAGAAAAGACTAACAATATATTAGACAGTGGATGGTTGACTACAATAAAATGGTCCACCAAGCGCTATCAGTACTGTAAAAAAGAAAAATCTGAATATGCAGTTAAATTACTAAAAGTTAAAATCAAAATTGAAGACGAAATATATAAATGTGTTATAGTCCACGTAGTTCAGTTGAATCCACAGTCAATGGAAGAACTTTAAAATTAATATTGAAATATTCAGTGCATGAAGTCTAAACAGTCGAGCTGGGTCCTCTACGAGGTGAAGCTGTAATACAGTTTTTAAATATAGCATTAAATTTAGTACAATTTAAATTAATTTGAGTGTGAGATTGGAATTATTCAATCCACATAAAAAATATACTATATAATTTTATATTTCATCAGTCGATTTCCTATAGTGGTGTCAGTTGGACCTTTGGTCAATACTTAGTGTCATAGAATTTTGAAAGGTGCAGATCACATAACTGCCCTTCATAAGCTGTCATTTGTCACATGTCATCTCTACATTTCCGTCAGACCGGGAGCCCATTCTGTCTCCGGCTTCTTCACAATATGTAGCTTCGCCATATAAATTTTAAAGTGTTTGTTTGTCTTAGTGTAGTGTATTTTGTATTGTTATGTCCAGTTTTACATTTATGACATTCTACTATGTCGGATAGTCCACAATTGACGAAGTAAGTCTATAAACGTTTATCACATATAAAAAATTTTTTTTTTTTTTTCAACCATAAATTTGGAGTTTTTTATCCAAGTGAATTAATTTTCCTGTTTATATAAAAAACGTTTCTTGGCTTATTTCAGATGCCCCTGAAGATGATCTATTGATTGAAAGTACTTGGACAAGATTAAATTAATCACCGTGTTCGATAGTTGCCTTGTATACCCTCAAAGTTTAATTAACTAATTAATTAATTAAAATTATTTAAATGATCTGACTATGACTCTATCACACTTTATAATTCTCTTATCTCAGGGTTCTATTCGTGCTTCAATATCTATGCTATTACATGTGAAAGGTAAAGTCCAAAGAATACCGGAATAATAAAAAAACATATAGGATCTAACATTATATATTGAAATAAAATAATGAAATAAAATTCACACTCAATAATTTTCAATAAACAAAATCTCATATAATGATTCTCAAAATTTTATTCTACGTACGTGAACCTTCAAAATTAATGGTACAAACAATATAAGTTGAAATCTCAAAATCCCAAATATTATTCTAAATCTCCTAATCAAAATATTTATATCTTTTCTAAAATAAGTGTAAAAATTGTGTTACCAATAAAAGAAAAAAAAACTGCAGAAAAACAAAACGATCTCTCTCTGATGATGAGTGGTCCAAATCCTTGTTCCTTGTAGACTATACTATCTACTCTCAGCCGCTCCCTAGGTAATCAGCAATCTTACAACAAATTATTGCAAGTTTATCGTCCTTAATGATCTTCAAATGCACGAATCGTTCAAATTATGCTAGCTTCTTCTTCTCTCAATAAACTAAATCTCTCGTTGGCCTGAGTAAAAAATGACTCTTGGAATATCTTCTCTTTACGATAAACTGAATCTCTTGTTGGCCTGAACAGTGACTCTTGGAATATAAGTAGAAAATATAACTTCAATCTTTTACTGGATCAGCTTCTGTCAGATACACTAACTACACGAAAACTCACAAACTTTAACTGCTACTGCTTCCTACCTCTGGGAAACTACTCGAGAACAACAGCCGTTTGCCTTGCACCCTTGAAAACCAACTGACTATCAATTTTTCTTCCAAAACTAACTAACGTCTCATTCTCAAACCAAACCTCCCACCTTTTCCAATCTCATCCAATCAAAACGCGTCATACATCTCCCATTTCTTCATTTCGATAACACCCAAATTTTTACCTACAAATATAAAATTTCCTAAAACTTATTTACAAAATCTTTTCCTACCAATTCTAAAGAAACTAACAAAAACATATCTTTCTAAAATCTATTCTATTATCCTAATTACTGCACAACATTTATTTGGAAAACCTGCTTCTAATGTCTAGGGTTTTACTTAAGCTTATAGGGGTCACTCAAATATATTTTAACAAAGAAAATAATTTATGCATATCTTACGTTTTGTTAAATACAGGTAATCCTAAATTAAAATACTTTCATTCTTCGAAATGTTTGTCGTATATTAATTTAACTTATCTGAATTATTTTAATTATTTGAACTTTGAAATATTTTTAAACAAAACGATATTTTCTTGATTTTACATATCATAACAATATATATATATATATATATATATATATATATATATATATATATATATATAGATTTATATATTACAAAATTTGTTACAAATATACCGGAATGAAAAGCGCAATCATTTGTCTCCTTCGAAACAAAATCAAGATGATAAAATTCACCACGTCAAATAAGGAAAGAACATAACATATAGTGTACTTCTACAAACACTTTCAGTAATAAATTTTTCTTATTAATCGATTAAATAAAGTTTGTTAAAAATTCACTGCTTCTTAACTTTGGCAACCAAGCTCTTCAAAATTCATTAAGATAAAGACTATTGATGATCTATTTTCTCACGTTCCCTTATTTTTGTCTCTTCACTTCCCCACAGCCTAAAATATATTGAATTTTCTTTCCGTCAGACCTTTTCTATCCTAGCTAAATTTAAAAAGAGAGCCTTCTTAGAAAGTTAAACATAACAAGATATTTAATATCTTCTCAGAATGTATCGAAAAGCCATTACGCTGTTTATTTTACAATCGGTTTAAAAAATTACTAATCTGTTCGGAAACATATATTGTTTTATCTACCCAACCGAAGCGGAGACAAAAAATATGATAGTTAGTCTTTCTTAAAATCGCAAAGAAAAAGTTTTACTATAATCCGTTCACAAATTGTTGAGAGCACGAAATGTGTCACAAAGTCATAAAAAGGTCGTAAAATTGTTATCATCATAGACTTTCCTGAGCTGTTTATTTATTATCAATACTAATAATGTTTTAATACCAATATATTTAGCAAAAAACAATTAAAACTTTCATGGCTAATGTTAGTTATTATATTATATTAATAAAACTAAGAATTTAACCATTAACAATTTTGTAAATAAGAATACCCTATCTCTTTGGATATTTCTATACTAATATTCGCATTTAATTACTTTACTAGAAAACCTGGAATTCATATTCGAAGGTAATATTCGTTGCAAGATTATTGGGATGTAATTTCCCAGATTTTTAATAATATAGTG